AAAAAAAAAAAAAAAAAGAAAATTTACAAAATGGTCGCTTTCTTACAGAACAGATGCGGACTGGATTGACGGACGTGCCTCCAGCTTGAAAAATTGGAAGTTCCTCCCCCTCGCCCCCACCCCCCACCCCGATAATAATAATAATAATAATTAATAATAATAACAATAATAATAAATAAATAAAATCCATGAAGTTTTGGATCCTCTGGGGGGGAGGGAATTACTGGGGTTTCTTCCCCGTGCCGTTCTTGTCCGCAGAGTTGGAGGTCACCAGGCTGACGGGGCCGTCCGAGTGCAGCGAATCCTTGCGCGGGGGCATGCGCTCGTTGATGCGGTCCAGCCCCCGCGCCTCCTCGAAACTGCGGATCTTGTGCTGCGGGGAGAAGCCGCGGATGGCTGCGGAAAAGGATGAGGGGGGGGGGAAAAAAAGGGAAAGGAAAGGGGAGGGAAAAGGGAGTAATCGTCAGGGAAAAAAAAAATTGGATTTTTTTTTTTTTTTTTTAATCCGGAGGGAAAGCCCTCCGGCACACGGCAGACACCAAACGGGGATAAAAGGGGTGGGGACGGGAAGCACCCGGCTGTGTTTGGGGGGTTCTTTCACTGGAGGGGTTTTTTGGGGGCGTTTAGGATTTGTTTTGCTCTCTAAAATGAAGATTTGGAGGTTTAGGATTTGCTCTGGTCCCCAAAATGAGGTTTGTTTTTTGTTTTTGTTTGTTTGTTTTTTTAAGAGAGGTTTAGGATTTGCTCTCGTCCTCAAAATGAGGGTTTTTTTTGGTTTTTTTTTGAGAGTGGTTTAGGATTTGCTCTCGTCCTCAAAATGAGGGTTAGGAGGTTTCTTGTTCTGGTTTTTAAGTTTTTATTTTTTTTAGAGAGGTTTGGGATTTACCCTGTTCCCCAAAATGAGGGTTAGGAGGTTTTTTTGCTTTGTATTTTTTTGGGGGGAGAGAGGTTTAGGATTTGCTCTGCTCCTTAAGAGCTTTTCATGGAACCATGGAATATTTAGGGTTGGGAAATTAAAATCATCCAGTTCCAACCCCTGCCATGGGCAGGGTTCCACCATCCCAGGTTCAACTCCCCCCACAACCTTGGACAATTCCAGGGATGAGGCAGTCCCAGCTTTTCTGGGAATTTCATCCCATCACCTTTACAGGGAAAAATTTCCTCCCAGTATCCCAAACCTCCCCCTCTTTTAATAGAACAGGAGGAACTTGATAAACCAGACAAGTGCTTGCTGTCCCCAGAGAGTGAAATCTCAGGAAAATTTCAAAGCTGAAAAACACGACACTAAAAAAAAAAAAAAAAAAAAAAAAAAAAAAAAAAAAAAAAAAAAAAAAAAAAAAAAAAAAAAAAGCAAAACCCAGAACGACAGAACAAAGACACCACCACAAGGCTCTGAACTCTGACACAAACCACACACTGCAACACCAGGAGAGGGAACAGCTAGTCCTTGGATCACAAAGGCAAAAAATTCTTGCATGACCAGGAGACACACGGGCAGACTTGGGAGGGATGAATCCCACTGAGGAATTTCATGTCCCTGTTCCATCCCTGCGGGGACAGGCACGTCACCCTGGCCCTGATGACACGGAGCAAATGTGAAACTCCTTTGTGCTACGGTGAATTTAAGGAAAAGGAGGGCTGTGCCAAATCTTTTACAAGGACTTGGCTGGCTTACAAACAACTTCCCTCGGGAAGCAAAGCCTCTGTAGAGCTGCGTGGCCCCGCTGAGCATCGAGGAAAAATCCTCACGGGTCTGTCATTCCTACACTGTGCAGGCAGAGAATTGCCTCTCCACCTTGGCCTACCTGTGGGGAAGTCAGGGATTGCACCAGCACCACAAAATCCTGTTTTCTAAAAGGGTTTTGATGGTGCTGATAGATTGCAGGACCTCAAGCCCAAAGTCTCGAGCCAGCGGAGCAGGAACCGCTCCGGCAACTCCAAATAAAGATGTTCCACGAAGGAATAAACCGTTCAAAGCTGAAACAGCCTTGAACCAAACCCCTGGGGTTTTTTTTTCCCTTCCCAGCAGGGCCTCGTCCTCCCCCCCACTTCTGGTGATGCAAGAGTAAAAAGCTTCCGTTAAGGGCTGGTAAAGCTCTTTAAAATGAGCGCACGCACACACGGAGATGATTTGAGTCTCTCGCCGGGTTCTAGCCATACCTTCCCGTGCCTCTACCGCTTCTACTGTGGCTGCAATACAGAAGAACAGTGGCATGCAAAAATGAAGACAGGGAAAAAAAAAAAAAAAAAAAAAAAAAAAAAGAAAAAAAAGAAAAAAAAAAAACAAAAACAGAGTGACAGTGAGTGATCCGACATCATGGCTGCGACGCAGAGCCCGCGGCCCCCCAGCCCCGTGTGCCAAAACGAGTGGCGAGAGGGGAGAAAGAGGTGACAGCAGGTGGAGAGGAAGGGGGGAAGGGGACTCCCGAGGGCTCAGGGGGAGTCTCCTTTCCTCTGGATTGATCTGATGGAAGAACAGAGGGGCAGAGAATGAGGGATTCCTGCTGTGTGCACTGGGCAGGGACAAGGTCGAGCTAAGATCTGTCCCCAGCTGGGTGGCTCCAGGCCACCTTCAGATGATCAGGTCTGTGGAATTCACCCTCCACCAGCACAGCTGGGCGAGGGAAGGGATCCCAGGGGATGTTTGGAGCAGTGGGAAGGAAGGAGAGGGGCAGCCTGGTTTTCAGGGAAGCTTTTTTTTCCTTTTTTCCAAGCCTGTTTTCCAGGGAAGGACAAGCAGCAGGTACTGGGCTGCTCTGCTCCCGGTGCCTTGAGTTGTAAAATCAGGCTCCAAATCCAGTTTGGCTTCAGCTCCACCTCCTGAAATTGTTACCAAGCAACAAGGCACCACGGAGCTGAGCAATGTCCCCCTTCCTAAATCTGCTGCAGCAACGTCCAAGGTTTGGTAGGCCCTGCTTCAACATCTGGGAGGAGGCCCTTCCCTCGAGCAGATTCCCTGGATTTTAGCCTCAAAACAGCAGCATTTTTTATTTTGGACACAATACAGAGGCCACGTGGTCCTCGGGAGGCCACGGAGGACGGATGGAGCTGCGGCTGCCCCAGATTCTGTGACTTTATTCAGCTGATTTTGCCAAGCCCTGCTGTGAAAAGCTGAGGAGAGGCTGAGGAGGGCAGGGGCCCCCTCACTGCAGCCCTGTCTCCCTTTTTTTTTTGGGGGTGCCAAAAGGGGGGCAGCCCCCTCTCCTCCTCACCCAGCAGAGGGGACTCCCATAAATGAAGGGATGTGCGAAACGGGGAAGGGTGGGAGGATGGGGAAAAGGGGGAGAGAGAAGGGGTCAGGACAAGGAAAACGGGGAGGGAGAAGAGGTCAGGATAAGGAAGGGAGGGTGGGAGAAGGAGGAAGGCCAGGGAAAAGAGGGTGAGGAGAAGCCGGGAGGTGCCGAGGGCAGCGGGGGGAGCCTGCAGGCAGGGCGGGTAAGGCAGCAGCCAAGGCCCAGCTTGTTTGTTCCGTCCTGGGGAGAGGCTTATTCTGGGGGAGGGGAGATCCCTGGTACCCCTCAGAGAACCCCCTGAGAGGGGAAGGTGCTGCAGAAAGTCACAGCATGACCCTGTGCTGTCGGGATACAGGGACAGAGCTGCACCTTCCCACTGAGGCTCTACTCCCAGAACTGGGGCGACGGGGCTGGGATGGTTTCTATAAAAAAAAAAAAGGGGAAAAATAATCCATCCTCCTCTGTGGGCAGAGAAATCCATGAGCTTGGGAGTGATGCTGCACCCTCCCCAGGAGCAGGCAGTGATATTTCCACGTTTGTGACTCGTGGATTGTTTAATCCAGGCAAACCCCAGCCCGGGGAGGGCTGCAGGAAATCCCAGTGCCCATGGGAAGGGGGAAGCTGGGGAGGTGCCAGGCTTTAAAGGTTGATGGCAGGGAAGGATTAAAACACTGGATTACAGGATTCCCTCTGGGATAACGCCCTGTGAGTGGGGAAGGATCAGATCCTTCACTCCCAGCAGCTCCCAGAGCTGCTGAGGGAAGCAGCAAATTTGGGAGAAAACCTCTACAACTACAAAACCTGAGAGGAGACTTTTCTGAACCACCCAGCCCTGGAGGAACCTCGTTCCTTTGGCTGAACCTTCCTCTTGTTTGGGATTCGTGACTTGACAGGGGGCAGGCTGGGAGGGGGTTTGGAAGAACGAAGAACAAACAAGCAGCTGTGTCACTGTCACATTCACACAGAGGCTGTGTCACTGTCACATTCACACAGAGGCTGTCACACAGCAGCAGCACAGCGAGGTGAGGCAGAGGATGTGCACCATGCAGCGTTAGAAGGGAAATAAAGGATAAAAAACTCGTTGCAGAAAACAAACAATTAAGCACTAAACATGCTTTAAGGCAGGGTGCTGTGGGTTTTCTTCCTCGAGGGTACACGGGGACATCTTGGCATCTCTCCACATCCCCACCTACAGCTCTGCTTGCTCCTGCTTGGGAATCCTTCCTCCCCACGGGCCTGGGGTCCCCTGGCACCCTGCAGGCTGCCTGTGGGAGCTGCTCCAGGGGGGTTTGGGGCTGGGGCAGTGCAGGGGGGGGGCTCAGGGATACTCACCGGTCTGCAGGGTCTGCCTCCCCCCCGAGAGCACTCCCAGGGGCAGGGTACCTGTGGGGGTCAGGCCTTTGAGGGTCAGCACGCTCTCGCTCTCCTCCCTGCAGGGAACAGCAGCACCAGTTACACACTGAGCAGGGCACTGCTCGTACTGCTCCTGCTGGATGCTGTGGGACTCGTGGATCATGGCAATCGTGGAGCCACGGGGTCATTAAGGATGGAAAAGACTTCTGAGGTCACCAAGTCCAACCATCAGCTCAGCACCACCACCCTGTTCCACACCATGTCCCCAAGTGCCACATCCACACATGTGTCAAACCCCTCAGGGATGGGGACTCCACCACAGCCCTGGGCAGCCCATCCCAATTTTCTATTTTGCATTGCCATTCCAATACTTGGCAACCCTTTCCATGCAGGAATTTTCCCTGATATCCAACCTGAACCTCCCCTGGTGCAGCCTGAGGCTGTTTCCTCCCATCTGTCACTTGTTATTTGGGAGAAAACACCAACCCCTACTTGGCTACAACTTCCTTTCAGGCAAATGTGTCTTGAAAGAGTCAGGAAAAAAAACACCTGTCTTAGGAAGTTCTTCCCTTTTTTTTTTCCTAACCAGTGTTCCCCCATCACTCAGTCTCCAAATTAAATCCAGTCCCCAAATTAAACTCAGTCCCTGAATTAAGCCCAGTCCCCAAAATAAATCCAGTTTGCAAATTAAGCCCAGTCCTCGAATTAAGCCCAAATTAAACTCAGCCCCCAAATTCAATCCAGTCCCCAAATTAAATCCAGTTCGTGAATTAAGAGTAGTCCCCAAATTAAGCCCAGTCCCAAACTAACCAGTCCCTGAATTAAGCCCAGTCCCTGAATTAAGCCCAGTCCCTGAATTAATCCCAGTCCCTGAATTGAGCCCAGCCCATCCTCACCGAAGAACTGAGAACACCCGTGCCATCTTCCCAATGGCTCTGATCTTATTCCTGATGATCTCCTTCCTCACCGTTGTCCCACCTTAGGGAGAGAAAAGAGCAAAGAGCAGCACGTTGGAGATTTCCTGCTCTCCAGGGAACGTCAGCATGAAGCACCTGCCTGACTCCAGGAAAAGAAAATCATGGTTGGTACAGATTCACAGCTACACCGGAGAGAGAACAGTGCTGGAAGGATGGCATCAGGATGGCATCAGGATGGCACCAGGATGGCAGTGAGGAGGGCAACACCAACGAGATGGCACACGGGACTCGAGAGGGCTGAAGAGAGTAGAACCAGCACAGGACACGGATTTGGGGAGGTCTGGCTGGCAGCTCTGCCAGGTGGGGCTCACACTGCACAGGATGTGACACAAATGACTCAGCCATGAGGACACGGTTTGCCAAGGCAGAGCACACACCGAGGGATCTGATGGCTGATGGGCACCCAAGGGCACGCAAGCATCAGCTCTGGCATCCAAGGAGCACAGCCAAGGGCTGGCCCGAGCCTGGCAGCTCTGCTCTGACCCCACAAGGACACAAAGGGACAGGGGGGAGCTCCCCTTCCGCTCTACGGACCCAACGGGAGAGAGAAACAACAACAACAACGAAACGAAAAGCACGGAAGGAGCTGAAACCAAAATTCAGGTCAAAAGAGGGAACAAATCCATCTCCTCTCAGCTGAGATTCCTCACATGGCCCAGTACACATGAGGACAGGGAAGCCAAACCCGGGGCTAACATGCACCATGGCTCAGCCATGCACTACGTGGCTGCATTCAGAATCAGGAAGAAACGTGATCCCCGTTTCTCAGAGTTCCTGGAGGAACGCAGAAGGGTTAAAAAAACACATGGAGCTTATGTTAAAACTGAAAGGGGATGAAGAGACTGCCCCACTAGTCAGCTCTGGAAATCCACTTCAAGGATCTGGTGGCACAGGCAGTGATAATTAAGCTCGTAGCAAATTCTAGCTGGGTACCTTTCGGATAGCTTGAAATGTAGTGATCTTCAGGGAGAGGAGACACCAAGAAACAAGTAGATGAAGACAGAGATAGAAGAAACAAATTTAATTTTCATGGGAGGGAGGAAAGAAAAAAAAATAAAACAAAAAAACCAAAAAACAAAACGGAAATGCAATGGGAGAAGCGGGTTAGAGTCTCCACCTGGGGCCGAAGCAGCTCAGGCCCCACTTCTCGCTGCCCCCCTCAGCTTCCTCAGGTCACACCTCGCTCCTGAGTCCCCCCAAAATCCAAACTGCTCAGCAGCTCAGCCACTGATTTGCCCCCTTCATTCATGGCTTAAAACCAGGGCCAAAATCAACCTTTTTGGGGAGGGGGGTGACAAGAGCAGCCACTTTACAGAGGAGTTCACTGCAACAGATGAGAAGACTGGGTGGATATTTTGGTGCAGAAAATTTTGAATTGGGGGAAAAAATAACCAGCAGCCTGTGTAAGGAGCAGGAAACCATTCCCAGAGTAGCTGGCAAGAAGTGTCTGTCGCAGTGAATGTCATTTAATTTCTCTGTGACTGAACAGCAAAGGAGAAAAAAAAAAAAAAAACAAACCAAAAAATGTTCCCTACCCAAAACTGCAACGTTTGGGCAAAAAGGAGACCCTGTCTGGGCATCCAGTTATAAATCAAGAGCTGCTCAGGCACATCCAAGACCTTCCCCAGCCTTTCCCCCCGCTGCTCTCAGGTGCCAGCAGGGATATTTTACCTTCCAACGTCTCGTCGCCATCCGAGATGAGCTCGTCGTCGGAGCAGATGTTGAGGATGTTCACGAGCATCTCGGTGACTGCAAGAGGCACAGACAGCCAGGTCAGAGACACCAGAGGGGCACTCAGAAGGATTTGGAGGATGAGGGAAGGATTTCAAGGTCGTCTGTCCCCTGCAAGTGGGAGCCTAAAGACACTTTTAGGCACCGGCTGCCGGTACCCGCAGCGGCGCCGGAGCAGACGACACACGTTGGATCTTCTGCCAAGGAGGTGGATGGATGCAGGCCAGGCACATCACACAGCAACCAGACGTGGGGAAGGAGGTGCCAACATTCCTGCAGAACAGCCTGAGCTCCCTCAAGGTCCCCCCTCCCCATCCTCACCCACGCCACGGCCACCTGGTTCTGAGAAGGGACAAATTTGGGGAAGGTGGTGGTGGCGGCGGGGATTCGACCTTTGGTGCCTCAAAGTCAAAAAAAACCCTTTGGGAGTTGTGAGGGTGAAGCTGCACTCCAAATATGAGACTGGGGTGGAATTTAAGCTCATCAGGAGAGGTAAAAATCCTTTTGGTGAAAAGCTGAGGCAAAGTCTTGGTCATATTTTAAGCTGCCTCGCCTTCTTCAGAACGAAATAAGCCTTGGATTGAAGTGAATGCTTCTTTTTGGTGGGCCAGGAGCCAACAGGAATTTAAAATTCCTCTGTTGCAAACCAAGAGAAATGTCTCCAAATTCTGAGGTGGGGCTACAGCACCCAAGATCAGCTCCACCAGCAATGCACAAAGAGCAAGAAAGGAGGATTTTATTGGTAAAAGCTTTTTGAAACAGGCATCAACAGCTGTTTTTGAAAGAATTTAACCCAGTAATGCAGATCTCCTTGAGCCTGAACTACTCTCCTGTGCTACATGGAGCTGCAACACTCTCCCAGCAGTGTGGGACAGGTTTGTGACACTCAGGATATGAGGAGCAGTCACTGGGAATTTGGAACAGAAACCCAAATCTCTCTTACCCTTTTCCCCTACGAAAGGCAAGGACCATGTGAAGACGTCCATGAAGTTTGGAAGCCAGTAGGGGTGAGGGGAGCAGTTGAACTGCCTGATGTTCATGACGTTGTTTTCATATTTCAGAACAGCAGCTGAGGGAGGAAAGGAAAAGGGAATAAATGTCCATGGGTTCTCTCACTTACAGAATCCAGGAATGGGCTGGATTTGAACTTAAGGATCAGCCAGTGCCACCCCTGCCATGGGCAGGGACACCTCCCTCTATCCCAGGGTGCTCCAACCTCGCCTTGGACACTTCCAGGGATCTGGGAATTCCATCCCAGACTGCCCCCCCTTCTCAGCCAGGAATTCCTTCCCAATATCCCACCCATCCCTCTGGCAGTGGGAAGCCATTCCCTGTGTCCTGTCCCTCCATCCCTTGTCCCTCTCCAGCTTTCCTGGAGCCTCTTCAGGCTCTGGCAGAGGCTCTTAAAGTTCCCCTGGATCCTTCTCCTCTTTTACCCCCAGCTCTCCCAGCCTGCCTCCCTCTGGAAGTTTTACCAGTGTTAAAAAAATCTTCATTTTATCAACACCAGGCTACCAACTCTCCAAAATGAGAAGGTTTAAGCCATAATTCTTTTGTTTTACTCAGGTTGGCTCTCAGCTTAGACAGTGAAGCTCAGAGCCAAGATGCAAAGTGAGGGGTGAAAAATCCCATAGGTGGAGAAAATGTCACCATGATCCCCATGGTTTAGGGGCAGAAGGAAGTGGAAAGCTTTCCTTCACTATCAGCTTCTGTGGGATGGCAGAATCCACCAAAAGGGCTCCGTTCTGCCCTGCCTGGGGAATGAAAGCTTTTTATTCCAGGCCTTGTGACTCCACAGTTAATTACCACTAACACATTAAGTCAACCACTTCAGCTCAGCACACAAAGCTCTCTTTCATTCCAGGCACAAGAATGTGACTGGAGGAGAGGGTTTTGTATCAAAAATAATATATTTTTTGTATCAAAACCAGTGTGGTGGCAGCAGCTGGAGCAGGGCAGGGATTGTCCCTCTGTGCTGGGCACTGGGGAGGTTCCTCGAGGGCTGTGTCCAGTTCTGGGAGTTTCATTGAGGGGCTGGAGGGAATCCAGGGAAGGGAACAGAGCTGGGGAAGGGTCTGGAGCCCCAGGAGGGGCTGAGGGAGCTGGGAAGGGGAGAAAAGGAGGCTCAGCAGGGACCTTGTGGCTCTGCACAACTCCTGACAGGAGGGGACAGCCGGGGGGATTTGGGATCTGGCAACAGGGACAGGAGGAGAGGGAACGGCCTCAGGCTGGGCCTGGGGAGCTCAGGGTGGGCAGCAGCAGGAATTTCCCCATGGAAAGGGTGGGCAGGGATTGGAACTGCCCAGGGGGGTTTGGATCCCCATCCCTGGAGGTGTCCAAGGAATTCCTGGATGTGACACTCAGTGACAAGGTGGGGATCGGGCACAGGTTGCATTCAATGGCCTTGGAGCTCTTTCCTAACTTAAATTATGCTGTGATTTTGGGAGGGCAGAGTGGGACAGGGATTTCCTGACCCCCCCCAAGGGCAGCAGAGCCCTGACCTTACCCTTGTTGTTATAGACATCTAAATAATTTGGTGCAGAGAAGATTGTGATTAACGAGGGAAAGCCCGTGGTCTGGCTCTTCCTGTACATTCGGTACCTGCAAAACAGGGCACGAGTTAAACCTGGCTCAGCACAGCCTAAACCCTGCCCAGCCCAGCCTAAACCCTGCCCAGCCCCTGGGCTGCAGCACTCACCCAGCATCCTGGGCTTCGTGAGCTCGGATTACGGATAACAAACTATTGTTCTGCAAAAATTCACACACTGCAGGGTAACTGCAAAACAAAAAGGAGAGGAGAACTCAGCAGGGAGCAAAAGCTGAGCACAGAGCTTGGTGGTCTTGGTTTCAGGGAGCAACCACTTGCAGAAAACATCCAGTTTCTGTCCAGCACCTCAAAATATGTTTCATCACTCAAAAATTAATTGCAAAGGGTTCTGTTTATAAGTGGATTTTCAGCACAAATCCTTCTTTTTTAGCAAGGAAAGATTATTTCCTAGAGATCCAGGTGCTGAAAACCACTCACAGAAGCAAAGAAGCATCTCTGCTGTTTGAGACCCCAATTCTATAAAGTAACTTATCCAAAGACAGCTCAATATTACAGGAGAAGAAAAAAAACAAGAATTTGTGCATTAGAGCCAAGTGAGGAGAATTTCATGTACACACAGAGTGGCCTGAACGGTGATTTTAGTGGGAGGGGAGAGGAATGTCCCCTAAAACACCCCTCACCTGTAGAAATAGGAGCAGCCTCGGACAGTGTTGTGGGCAAAATGCTCCAGGGTTTTCTCGTTGCCGTAATCCTCCGAGGGATCCGACCACAGCAGGTCACACATCGGACCAAAGGCTGGAGGCTCCTTAAACCTGTCTAACTGGAGAGGGGACACAACATCAGGAGGAGCTGTGGCAGGATTCCAGCCCCAAATCCACCCAGGAGTGAACCCCACTGATGCCTGGAAAGGCAGAGCTGGAACAGAGACTGGGCAGAGCTGAAGGGATAAAATCGGAATTTATTGAAAGGATTCACCTTGGGCAGGGGAGAGCCTGGATGGGGCTGCACCCAAATCAAACCCAAGCTGGATCCTGAGTTTTACACTTTGATCAGTTTTGGTTCACACACACATTGGGGTCAATGATCCAAACACAGCCCCAGGCTATGAGATCTCAACCTCCCTTCCCTTTGCTGCTGTTTCTGATTTTTGGGTACTGGGTGTCCTCGATTCTCCAGCTGGGAAGGGATTGTGGTGTCCAACTCCCCTGTGAATGGAACTTACCAACACCTTACTAACACCTTACTAACACCTAACTAACACCTAACTAACACCTAACTAACACCTAACTAACACCTAAATAACACCTAAATAACACCTAAATAACACCTAACTAACACCTAACATGAAGTTTCAGAGTTACACACTAAGCAGGAGATTCTGAAAAATACAAAAGCTGAAACCCAAAGCATCACTGCCCTTGTGTGAGTGGAGGTTTGGGATGGAAGGACTCGAGGCCATAAAGGAAAGATCCTGGATTAGGATTTGATTGCCCTCAGCATCCCCTGCCACACACCAACCCCACAGACACGTCCCCAAACCTCAGAGTTTTAAAAACCAGGAGTTTTAAATTCTCTTCACCTGTCCTCAACACGTTTTCCATGCTGACCTCACCGGGCTGAACTCTGCTGAGAAGCTGCTGGGAAGGGATTGTTTTGTCAGGGAACTGAGGGGGGTGAAAGGAGAACTTCACTTACTTTCCTAATGTCATCTAGACATGTGATTTCTGGAGACAGGCCCCCGTGGACACACAGGAATTGCTGGTTGAGGAGGGCAGCAAGAGGAAGACAGTCGAAGGTGTCCATGCACGCGTCGTACACTCGCTCCGAGTACTTGATTCGACCTGGCAAGGAGGGATTCAGTCAGGCTCTGAAGGGATAAATGCTGATCGAGAAATTCAGGGAATTCAATTTCTAAAGGAGATACAGGAGCTCAAAATCAAAATGGGCCCACAAATCAAGCTTTGCATCAGGGTGGCAGTGAAAATAATGACTTGGAAACAAACTACGCACCAGCGCGTTTGTGAAAATTCTGATTTGGAACCAAACTCTGCACTTGTGGATTTGTGAAAATTCTGATTTGGAACCAAACTCTGCACCTGTGGATTTGTGAAAATACTGACTAGGAACCAAACTCTGCACCTTTGTGTTTGTGAAAATTCTGATTTGGAACCAAACTCTGCACCTGTGGATTTGTGAAAATACTCATTTAGAATCAAACTGTGCACCAGTGTTTGTGAAAATTCTGACTTGGAATCAAACTTTGTACCTGTGTATTTGTGAAAATACTGTCTTGGAAAAGAATTTTTGGATGTGTNTAAAAGAAAAGGTTTTTTTTAATCTGGAAATCCTCCCTGGTGCAAAAAGGGAGGAGCAAATCCTTCCCCTGTTCCCAAGTGCAGTCACTGATCCCAGCTGCACAATCTGGAGCTGGAAGTCTTTTGGCACTGATCAGATGCTGCTGGGTCTGGAAGTCAGGGAGGGGAGGATGTGTGTGCCTGGCTCATCAGGGGAGAACTGTTCCCATTTCTTCCATCCACACTCGGTCTTTGAAACCAAAAAGCCACATTTGGTGCTTAGCAGAATTTAAAGATTTGGGTTTTGGGGTATTTTTTATAGCAGGGGTTGAAAGAGAAGAGCAGGAAAACAAGACAACAAGGTTTTTACAGCTCTGATGCCACAAAAAATGAAGCCCACGCCTTCTCATAACACCTTTTTTAAAAAAAATATATATTTTAAAATGTATTATTTAAATGCATTCAAATCCTTCTCCCACTGCTGATACTTACATTCCTGCTTGAAGGTGAAATATTCTGTGAGGTGCCTGCACTCGTGGTTCCCTCGAAGGAGGAACAACGTTTTGGGATGATTTATCTTTAAACTCCATAAATACAGCACGCACTGCAAGAGAGGCAAGCAGGGGATGTCACAAAATCCTTTCCCAGGGCACTCATCAGCCTGAGACTGCACTAAGAGGTTCTGGGAAGACACCCAAAGTGGAACCCAGCTCCATAATGGGCAGTGGATCTTCTCCTGGCCAAGTGGGGAAAAGCCACCGGGATTTCTCTATATTAGGGCTGACTTGGAGAAGTGACAAATGAGGTCGGAGCCAACAGAAAACAGCTCAGGGCTGGGTGGGGGCAGCTCTGCTTCCAGCACAAACCAAAGGGAAAAAAAAAAACCACCTCCTTTTGTAGAGCAGCAAAGCAGAACCAGCTGTTTGCTCCAGATGTTCCACTGGGATGGAGAGCAGCGAGAAGAGCAGGCAGATATTTGTCCACAAAACACCCGGAAAATTCAACTTCACCTTCCCCACTGATTTCCCCCCTGCCTGGTTTTTCTGCTTGTGTTACAGTCATGTGAAAGTTCAAGCTCAAAACAGGAAAAGCTGAGCCCAAAAAACAAGCTTAGCTTAGCAAAGCTGTGTGGCTTTGAAAAGGGTTTTTCCACATCCCCTCTGCAGAACACCTGCAAGGCTGGTCACAAAGTCAGGCCTAAAGTGGGGACTTTAGCAGAATTATTTCATGCTGGCTCGGCCCAAAAATACCTGAGGGAAGGGCTGGGAGGCAGGGAGGGCTCAGCCACCCCGGGTGCCAGGGTGTTGTCACATTTCCCTCCTCGCTGTGCAGTGCTGGAAGGACAATCCATAACCACAGCAAGCTCCAGGATCTGGATTAAAGTCTCTAAGAGGAGCTTACCCTGGAGGCTGGCAGGCTGCAGGACACACCTGGGCAACAGGAACCACCACCAAATCTGTGGCACACCCCCCAACATTCCCAATCTGGGCCACAGATCCCCAGGAACCAGCTGGAAACAACTTCCAGAACCCAAAGGAACCAATTCCCAGTTGGTTCCCAGCTGGTTCCCAGTTTAGATCTGGTGGTGTTTAAGCACTGAACCTGCAAGGTAAGCTCTGCATGAATCATCCCAGCTGATCCCAAAAACCCTGAGGAGCTGTAAGCACTGCCTGTGTCTCACTTGGAATTCAACACCACATTAACAAGTTGATTAATTGAGAATTCCAAAAGAGAACAGGGCCAAAGCCAGTAGCAGAATCATGTTTTATTGCATCTGTTACCAGGAGGAATGCTCCCAACAAAACCATTTATAATTATTCTGGGATTTAAAGCTTTACCCTCCCTGTGTTTGCAAGGGAAATGTCACTTTTCTGGGCTGGAAGTTGCTATAAATGAACCAAATGACTTGGAGGAAGAACCAGCCCTGGAATCAAAGCAAGGCAGAGATAACAGCATCGACAGGGGAGGGTTTGGGATGTATGGAAGGCTGGCAGCTTGCAGAAGAGAGATTTTAAAACACATTTGAAGGGGTTTGAAGTGAAACGGGCTTGAATTTGGCACTGCAATTCTTCCTGGACGTGCCAGGGATGTGGAGAGCGACCATTCCCTGGGGCTGGAGGCCACTTCTCAGCGATGTGGGGACTGCCAGGTACCAGGACATGGAGTAAAGGACACTGAAGAGCCCTCGAGGGCTCCAGAGGGGCTGGAATGAGGAATGAGGGAGTTTCTACACTCACATGCCTTGGATGCTTCCTGGTGTTTTGCTCAGATCCTTGTCCCAGGATCCTTTTCCCAGTGCCTGTCCAGGAATTTATTACTGCCTGTCTGCAATAGCCAAGGAGCAAATCCAGGCTGTCACAGCTTTTTGGGCTTAAATGATGTTAAATAATCTCCTTCTCTCCTTATTCTGCCTCTCAGTGGGCAGCCCAAAGCCAAGAATTTGATCCACTTGGAAAGGGAAAGCTCAGCAGGACACAGGGAGGGAATTCCAAGAGGAATTGGGATTTGTAACCCCAAAAATGCAAGAGGGGTTGGTGCCAAACCTGCCCCCAACCATGACCTCTCTCAGCATTCCCAAAACCTGGCATTTGTAAGGAAGTTTTACACACAGAGCCTGCCAGAGTGGGAACAGAGGCAAAACTCCCAAATCCAGCCCACAAATCCACCTTCACTCCCACTCCACAGGGCTGACTGGATCTCTTTAATATTACTCTGGATAAAAAGTGCATGGAATCAAGATTAACACATAATTCCATAATTAGACAGCAATCACGTGTCCTGTCATAATTGGATTGGAAGAACTGGCCAGGGAAAGGTGCATCCATTATCACACCACTTTTCCTGATAAATCTCCTCTTTCCATGGATTCTGTTCCTGGTCATAACAACTGTTTAACTTTCTAAAATCATTCTATTCATTGTTTTCCAGCTTCATGGACTGGGATGGTCCTTCCCTACCATGAGCACAGACCTTTCTGGTGCTATTGTGGGATTTGGGACTAAAAGCTTCATGAAAGGAGCATTTTTCCCCACTGGGAATCCATCAGCACGTTCCCATGGAGGAGTTCATCCTGATTTCCGTGCTGCCTGTCAGCCCTGCACCCTGGAGCTGGGATTTGTGACCCAAACCCTTCCCAGAGTCCCCTTCCAGCAGCATTCCAGCTTTCACACACTTCTTCCCCTCCCCTCTCCCCTCACAATTCTTTAAAAAAAAAAACAAAACAACAAAACCATTGACCAATCCACTCTCCATGGCCTCATTATACTGGGAACTCATGTTTTTAAATGAGAATTTCCCCTAAGCCAGAGGCCCAGCAAGAATTTGTTGAATGATTTGTTGCTGACATCCAGCTGAGCTGATGAACTGAGAGGCTTCAGGGGGGGTTGAAAGATTTTTTTCTGAGCCACAGATTCCTCTTTTTACCTGGACAACCAAACACCTGGAGCCACAGGGAACACCTGGCAGGGATATTTGGCCCTTACACCTCCTTGGCCTCCACTCTGGCATCATTTCCTGCCTGCCTGCAGCAGGATGCAATTAAACCATCCCCTCCTACTTAATTCTGTTAAAAGGTCACAGTTGTGGAATTGTGGAATATCCTGAGCTGGAGGGAATCCACAGAGATATTCCAAGGCCTGGCTCTGGATCATCTCCCCATGGATGCCCAATTTTGTGTGGTGACTCAAAAGGCTGCTGCTGTTTCCCCCCCCACCTTCCCAGGGTCACATCACAGGGAAATCCTGGATGTTTTTCCATCTGGGATATTCCAAACCTGCTGTTGTTTTATTACAGAAAGCAGATTTTGTGCATCAAGGCAGCAATTTCTTCCAGCACAGTGCAGTAGGTGGAAGGGAGAGGCACATGGGAATGAAAACTTTGAGATTCTGCCTTATCCTGATGTTTGGAGTAGGTTTAAGGTTTTTTCCAACCCAAACCATTCCATGATTCTGTGATGATGGAGAGACCAGGATGCTGATTTCTGGAGACCTGAGAGTAAAATTTGTGTCAGATGAATCCCGGGCTGAGAGCAGAGTGGGAGCAGCACTTTCCCACCCTGGTTCCACAAATCCATACACAGACACAGAGCTCAACACCTCTCATTTGAAGGTTCATGGGTTAACACTAAAAAAAAAAAAAAAATCCACTTTTTTTCCTCTCAGAAGGAGCTGCTGTTGTGGAATATAATCCCTTTTCCACATTCCCACTGCAAACCCAGCAATGCAGAGGAGCAGTGGGATGTGTCCTTCCTCTTCCTCCCTGGGGGGCTCCTCCTGCCAGCCCCAGCCCCTCCTCTGCCTCATCCCTCCCAGCTGCCCCGGAAGCTGCTCCTCGTCACACCTTGGCTCCCTGTCAGGATTCCAGAGCTCGGGGCTGGAAGGGAGCCAGGGGCTGCTGGAGCTCAAGCTGTCAGCCCTGCTCTCCCTAAATCCTCTGCAGAATCCTTCAAAGAACCCCTTGCACTCATCCTTGACAGTTCCTCCCCAAAAATTTTTCACTGGGTGAAGATTCCTCTGCAGTGGCTCAGCTGTTCTTGAAGCTTCTTTTTATTTTTTTTTTATTTTTTTTTTCCAAGAGAAATCACTCCCTGTGTTATTCCAGCTGATTTCTGCCACACTTCAGGCCCCTGCTCCCCCAAAAGTCCTTCCTTCACGTTGTTTCCAACTGGGATAAGTGCTGCACTTCCACTTGGCCCTGCCTCTGTGAATCCAGATGGCTGCAATCCCTTGGGATTTGTGGCATTTGCTGAGAGCTGTCCCTTCCTGTCCCATCCCCAGCTCTCCACTGAATCCTTTATCCTCCACACCAAGAACTGCCAATTTCTTGCTCGTGGAATCCCAGGCTAGCTGCAAATCCCTGTCCCAGCCCAGGTGACTTCTGCTCCTTTCTCCAGGGTTTCCAGAGGGGAGCAGGGACTCAGGCACTTGGCCCCTTCCTTTCCTGCTCAGTCCTCAATCCTGCAGCTTTCCCAACATTTGCTTCCCTCTGCCTGCTGGGATCCTGTTGCCTGTCCCTGAGTGACAGCTCCAAGTGACATTAAAACCACTCCAGAAGGCAGAGGTTAGGCATTAACCCCATCACTGCCACCTCACTGTCCCTGTGTGAGGACCCCAAGACTGGCACATCATTTTCCTGCCCATAATCCCACTGTGAGTTATCAGCATTGCCTTCATCCCATGCAGAACTCCACTGGAGGGTAAATCCAGCAGGAGAGATGTGGGTTTGGTGTTTGGACTCATTCTGAGCTGGATTTGAACTCATTCTGAGTTGAATTTTACTGATTCTGAGCTGTATTCAATTGATTCTGAGCTGTATTTTACTGAGCTGCATTTGAACTGATTCTGAGTTGTATTTGATCCTGAGCTGAATTTTATAGATTCTGAGCTACATTTGAACTGATTCTGAGTTGGTTTTAACAGATTCTGAGCTGGATTTTAGCTGAGGTTCAACCCTTTGGGTTCCTTTATCCCCAGCACCCCCCCAGGCTCCACTTCCTTGGTCACCTCTATACTGAAGTAGCCTCTGTCCACGTAGTCCCCCAGGAAGAGGTAGCGGGTGTTGTTGGGTGATCCTCCCACTTCAAAGAGCTTCATCAGGTCAAAGAACTGCCCGTGGATGTCACCACACACTGGGGGAAGAAGAAGAGCACAAAAGAGGGACAGAATTACCACGCTAAGAAAAGCAAGGTCACAACAGCAGCGAGGAGCAGAGCTCTGAGTAACAGACAAGAGAATCAAAATCCTCTGAGAGCTCAGGAGAGTTAAAAAAAACTTCATGGGTGGAAGGAACATGTTGGATCCCAGAAATCTGGAGTTTTGGAGCTTTCTGTGCTTCCAGGCACAGACCCCACCCCTGGCAAACACTGCTCTGGAGCTGGAACCTTGGAGAAGGCTTGGAAATGTGAATAATGAGTTAGAAATCACCAATGTGCAGTGGGTCAGGTGTGTGTGTTTGCACTGGGGGATGGGTTTGAGGTTTTTATGTATAGTGGTGGATATGGGACAAGATGGAGAATTTTGGGTGGTGTCTTTTTCTTCTCTTCCTTCTTCTTCACAGAACTCAGGCAGTGACCTTTGGTTGGTCAAATGTCACTCTAAGGATGGTGGGAATCTATTATTGGGTCAAAAGGATCAATAATGGAGGTGTTAAACTTGTATTGGTTTGTTTGGCTTTAAAAGGCCTTGGAGCAGCCTCAGCTGGAGCCTTTTCCCCACTTCCAGCAAGGAGCTGGAGGTGCTGTCACACTTTGTGTAATTTCTGATCAGATCCAATAAACATCCAACCCCAGCACGAGAATCCTGTCCCAAGGGAAGGATCCAAGGTTTGGGGTGTTGGGGTGGATTTCCAGCCAAGATTTGGGGATTGGAGTGGATTTCCATCCAATCTTTGGGGTTGGGATGGATATCCAACCAATCCTTGAGGTGCTTTGAGGAGCTGGAGGTGCTGTCACACTTTCTGTAATTTCTGATAAGAAATAATAAACATCCAACCCAAACACAAGAATCACCCCAATGGTGTTTCCATTAATCCTGGCTCTGAGAGAAAACAGAGAGTGCTGACAAACCACTCCTGAGTGCTGCAAAGCCCAGCTTACCCCCCCTACAGAACACAGAAAAAAAAAAAAAACCCTTTTGGACTTATCCTGGCTGTTATTGAGGGTTCCAGCCCTGAGTTCTGACCTGTGATTGGAGCCTCCACCTCGATCATGGTCTTCTCGTGCCTCAGGATGGCGGCGCCGTCGTTGATGATTTTCAGCGCCGCCTCCTCCTCCAGCCGCCCTTCCTTCACCAAGTGGCTCTTGAGGACGTCGAGCCTGGGCTTCCCATCCTCGAACACCTCCTTCAGAGTGAGCCTCTGCGTGGGAGGGAATGGGACAGCTGCAAAGGCAAGGCAAGGAGTCAGCAACACGGAGGCTTTCGGGGACAGGGAGTGACAGGCTTTGCTTCCCAGCCTCGACGCGACACCCAGAAATGGAATTTCCACTGAAACGATGCTGAGCTGCTGGATTCACCTCTCAAGCTTGGTTGAAAATCCCACTTGGTGCACCTGTACCTGTCCCAGAGCTGCCTCCCAACCCCGAGGTGTCATCATCCAAACCCAGAAGAGATTGCACGGAAATATCACAAAACCAGGAAAAGCAGCGAGCCAGGTAGGAGGATCAAAATCACATTTTTACTTATCAGGAAACCACACATCCCCAAAAAGCAGAATTTGCTCCTCTTTTCCCCAATACCTCAAAAAGAAGCAGAATTTGCTCCTCTTCACCCCAACACCTTAAAAAGCTTCACTCCCAAAAAGCAGAATTTGCTCCTCTTCACCCAATACCTCAAAAAGCTTCACCCCCCAGAAAAACAGAATTTGGTTCTCTTCACCCCTAAAACACAGAATTTGCTTCTCTTCACCCCAATACCTCAAAAAGCTTCACCCCAAGCTTAGAAATTGGCAAATCTTGATTGAGCCTAATATTTAAGATAAGTTAAGCCCTCAGCTATTTGCAGCACGTTTCTTAGTTTTTAACTCTGGATAGAAAAATACCCCATCAAAAACTGCTACTGTTATTATTACTATTATTATCATCATAATTATTTCATGGTAGGGAATGGGATGGTGTGTGAGAAGGTGACCTCTAGCAGAAATTAAGCAAAAAAAATCAGAACAAAAATCAGAGTTTTCAGTAAAAATCTGAATTCCTCATCTCCCTATTCCCAGGCCTGGCTAATTTAAAAAAGATGGGAGCACACATGACCATGGTGTAATATTTAAAAGCTGTATAGTGTCTTGAATTAAAATTAATTTAAGGAGGCCTGGATGTTTGGGAAGAACTGGGAATAAAACTCTGCAACAGGAATTTCTTCCTGGAAAGGGATGTTAAATATAGGAAGGGATTGCCCAGGGAAGTTTGGAGTCCCCAGCCCTGGGGGTGTCCAAGGAACACCTGGAGGTGGCACTCAGAGCTCTGGGCTGGTGACAAGGTGGGGATCGATCAGGCTCAGCTCGGACTCGGTGATCCTGGAGCTCTCTTCCAACCTGAACAACCCCATGATACACCAAAATATGTTGAATTTTCCAGGACAGAGCTGGCCAAATAACACAGTGAGAACAGCGGTGCCACTGCTCCCTTTTAAATGCAAATCCGGCAGCAATTTACCCTGAAAACCCCGAGAGGAAACGCGAAAGGGGGGAGGCACGAGAGATTCTTTACAGCTGAACATCAATTTTCAAATCACAGGAACTGCAGGAGTGGCTCTAATGGCAGCGAGGTGGCCCCACTTTGATGGATCCCTTTGGAAATTGTGCTCCACGTGCCTGGAACGCTCCAGAGCCTTCCCTGCCAATTAAAAAGGGTTAAACCAGACCTGCTTCAACCAACACGAGCAGGGTTTTTACTGCATCCACTGCCCAGCTCTGCTTCAAAACGAAAATAAAAAAAAAAAAATGACCCCTCTGGAGATGGATAAATAATAATTGTGCAGGATTTTTCCCCTCTGGGTCACAAAGGTTGGCAGTGAGGGAGGAAATGAGGGAAGATGTGGGGCTGACACCAACGGGATCAGCTGGGAAAGGAGCTGGGTGGAAATGTGGGTCCACTTGGAACAAGGGATTTTTTGGGACACTGAGAGGCTGGAAAATGATTTGTAAGTACTAGAAACGCTGTGGTTGTGCTGGCACTGCCATCTGACTCCAAAGGGAGCCAGGGAGCACTTGGAGGGTAAATGATTTACAAGGAACAGAAGAGAGAAATAAAAAACATTCATCTCCATTTTCCCCATCAAATCCAGGCCCTCAAACACCTCTGGATCCACCCTAAGGAAGTGAAAAACCCCAAAAGTGGAGTTGGAGATGGGATGTGAGCCCAGGACAGCAGTGCCCATCCAGAGATCCACGGGGAGCTCCTGGCTTTGCTTTTTCCTCGTAGCCCCAGCGAGCAAAGTTATGCAAGATCCAATCTGAGGCTTCAGCCAAGAACTTTTATGTAAGTTCCCTCCTTGGCTTTGCACAGCTCCACTCCCACAAGGAGCTGGGCACGAGCAGGAACCTCCTTGGCTCTGCCAGGGCTTCACTCACCCCACTTGAATTAAATTCAAAATTAAATTAAAATTAAAAATTTTATCTTTATCCGCACTTCATTCTCTTGGGACAGGAGGAAGAGGATGGTCCTGCAGCCAGGCTGGGCTCTCCAACAGCAGGAACAGCCCTGAGAGCAAACTGAGCTGGAATTTTGCACCTCCAGGGCACTGAGAAGGGTGGAGAGACTCACCCAGTTCCTGCTCCTGTCTGAAAAAATGAGGAGATAACTCCTTATCTCACAAGAAAAAAAAAAATAAAAAATCAGAGTTATGGAATGGCTTGGGATGGAAGGACCTTCCACTAGCCCAGGCTGATTCCAGGGATACTTCCAGGGGTCCAGAGCTTCTGTGGGAATTCCATCCCCTCCTCATCCTCCCAGGGAAGAATTCCTTCTCCTGAATTTCCCCTTTCAGCTCAAACCCTGTCACTGCAATTCCATGGCTGGTCCTGGAATGCCCAGGCAGTGCAGACACAGAACCAGCTCCCAAATAATCCAAGAAAAGGATGGGATAAAAAAAAATCACTCCCAACATTCCAAGAATGGAACCCTGTGACCTCGGTGCCACCTTCCCTCTGCACACAAAGCCGAGCCTTGTTTGAACAGTGAAATCTGCACATCTGGGGTTTGGTAATTCCACCAAACCCACTGCCAGGAAAAGGCAATTCCTGCTCCACCAACAGCACACGGGCTGAGGGCCGAGCCACGAACAAAAGGACACGAAATTCGAGGTGTGAAAGGGATTAAAAGGTCGGGTGTGCACAAGGGAAAATGGAATTAAAAGGGAAATCAAAGGGTAAGATTGCATTTCCCACCAAATTAAAACAGATTTTATTTGCCAGGCCACGAGCAAGGGGCTATTTGAAACACTCTGAGAGGACATGGATAGTTAAGGATGGCAGAATTTGGGGAAATTTTCTTTTTTACCAACCACCAGCATCGCTCATCCCTCAGTGCCAGATGAAAATCCTGCAAAAAAAAAAAAAATCCTTTTCCTCTCTCTTTCTGTCCTTAAAATGCACTGAAAATTCAGCTTCATCCCCACCTCCAGCCAGAGCAAAAGAAGTGATCCACAAATGATTGTTTATATATCCCAGAGCTCAGCATTCATGACTGAAAAAGGAGCAGGAGCTCCGTGCCTGCAGGGGCAGCTCTGGCCAAAAACTGCTCCAGGGAAAAGGGATCCCCCTCAACTTCCCACCCCCCAAAAAAATCATCCCACAGGATTTAAAATCCTCAAAAAACAAAACCCAGGGAGGTTTCCCTGCAGCTCCCCGTGCTCATCTGGGAGTGAATCAAACAAAGCCCCTTCCCTGCTTGATCCTATGAAAAATGAGGTTTAATTTTTTAGTAATTTTAAAAAGATCAATAAGAGACAAATAATAAGTAAAAAGTTATAATGGTTGGGTGTTTGGTATTTAATTAAGAGTATATTTGTTGTTTTGGAGATTTTTTTAAATTTATTTATTAGCCTGTTGTACATTTATAGATCTATTCTCTATTTTCAAACTTTTTTTATAAATTATTTTTTCTATTTTAGGAACTGTTTTAGATGGTTATTTTTTGAGATTTTTTTTTTTTTTAGAATTTGTGTGTTTTTTTGGTTGTGGCTTTATTTTTTTATTAGTTTTAATTTGGGTTGCGGTTTTTAATTTTTATAAAAATTAAATAAATTAAATCAATTTTCATAGATGGTCAGTGTTGGTAACTGGTATATTAATAGTAGGTGTTTTTACTGGGTGTTATTTAATTAAGTAGGTAGTTTCTTTATTACAAAGACTTATTAGTTTATGCCAATTTTAAAGAAAACTATATCTTAAAACCTACTTTAATACTACACATATAGTATTTATCTTAATATTTGCAAAAAGCCAATACCATAATATGTATTTATAACACTCCTCATTGTGGAGCAGATGGTGAGAGATGAACTTTGGAGCAAAAAAAAAAGTTTATTTTGGGGCAAAACCGAGGATTTGGACACTGAAAAAGCTGCATGGGCTGTCAAAGGTAGAAACATTCCCAGAAAATCCAGGAATTTTCCATCCAAACCCCTGGGAAAGGGAGAAGCTGCCCCAGGGCTGAGCTGGGCACAGCACAAGCTGCAGGGTGAGGTTTTTTGGTTTTTTTTCACCCTCCTTCCCAATTTCCAAACAGCCCAAAGTTATTTTTATCCCATATTTTATTCCCATTCACACCTAACCTACATTCATCTATTCAAAGCTGAGTCTGGGCTCACATGGAACCAGCTCAGAGGGAATTATGTGGAGAAATCCAGCACTGAAATGACATTTTTTTTTTTGCTGGGAAAAAAAAAAAACCCGTGGATTTTCAGCTTTTGGAGTCATTAACAAGGAACAGGGGATGGATGTCACTGTCACTGCAGCACTGCTCCAGCCACCCTGATTTTCCTGCTGCTCCATCCCACATCCAGCCCAAAGCAAGGCCAGGCTGCATCCCAGCAGCTGGGTGATGCTGGAATCCCAGAATTATCCAGCCTGGGACCAATCCTCACCTCGTCCCCAAGTGCCACGTCCAGGCATTCCTTGGAAACCTCCAGGGATGGGAATTCCACCAACTCCCAATGCCTGACCATCCCATTTATCAGCATTTTCCATGGAGTCATCTTTGTTCTTCCCAAAAACGATTAAACCACGTGAATTTCTGGTCGTTAAGCACAAAATGGTTTTGCTTTAAGAATCCTCACCCTGCTTTTTGGGAGGTTTTTTTCTCCCCTGATGCGAGAACCTGCAAAATCAGAGGGGGTGGGGTGTGTGTGTGTTTGATATCCCGATTTTTTTCCTTGGATCA